CTTAAATGAGTGCCTTGAACCTTGAAAACACAAGAACCTTCCCTAGCCAGACAGATGGCCACAATTCGGCCATATTGGAGTTTGTTTTGGGGAAAATGATGATAAGTTTGGGTTTAATGCAATTTTGGGATTGATATGGTGTTATGTATGGTTAAGAAAACCATTTGAGTGATTGAATAAAATTAACATTATGGTTAGGTATTTGGGCCTTAATGGCCGAATTGTAGCATGTTGGGGGGAGAGTGCATTGTTTTGAATTATGACTTGTTTAACAAGTGGGTTGATGATCATGTGTTGTGTGTCGGTTGCCTCCCTCGGATGAAATCCTAGAAGATTAAAGCTTGGAGCTTGTGGATTGTCTTTGGTCTTTGACCAAAAGGATTTTGGTAAGTGATTACCCACTTGATTGTGTTATTGATTGGATAACTAATGAAGTTATCATATTGCATCTTGTAATTGTTGAATAACCACTTGTGTAGGCATTTCTTGTGGAAGGGAAAGATTTTGAGGTAACTTGTAATTGAAGCAACTTAGCTCGGGAGCTTTAAAGAGGTAATACCTTGGTACTGGGGTTGATCCTCGTGTGTGCTCCACTATGCCCATTGGGGTAGTGGTTGAAAGTTGTTTGATGCAATAGTATGAATTATAACATGTTGTATGTTGGATGGTATATTTAAGTTTATACCGTATCTCTGGCCAGTAGATAGTTTGTCGTATGTCGTAGGGGATTCCACGGGAAAGGTCTCTGTAGGGAGTTCAAGTTGGCCAGGGGCCATAGAGTTGTGATTCGTTGAGGAGCACTCTAGGAATATCTCGGGAGTTATAGTGGTGGGTGCCTTGAATTATATCTCGGGGATACATTCTTGGATGAGGACCGGATTGATATGTCGTATGCCGTAGGCTATTGCACCGTGTGATTTGTATATTATGATTATAGTTATATTATTGTCATTTTACATCCGGTGAGCCATTGAGCGGAGTGATCCTCCAGAACGTTTGGATTACAGAGAATGAGCCATTTTGCATTTTGGGATTTATTTGATATGCTAGACTTAGAGAATGAACATGTTGTATTGCATGCGTGATGTATACCATGCTTTTGTTGTTCATGTTGTATTTTGGCTAAGTCTAGTTATTATGTAATTATTGTTATTTGGAGAATTTGATTTAGTAGTTATATTTGGTATTGGATAAATGTAATTGAAGAATTATGGATCTTGTGTTAAGTAATGATGAATATATGTGATGAAAGGGAAATAGGCCTATTCTAGGTTATGATGTTATTCAAATTGATAAATGCATGTAATTGAATCATGTGATTCAAATGAGTATTAAGTGGTATAATGGTTACTAAGTTGTCAAATGATTACGTGATGGATTGTGGATTAAATAAGAAATAATGCAAATGTGTTGTGGGTTGTAAGAGCACAAGGTATGTTGAACCTTGTGTGCCACCCTTGTCAATTAGGTACAATTTAATGGTTTAGAACACACTTTGGTAAAGTGGGATTAGTTGATAAAATAAAGGAGATGCCGTTAAAATTTCTAAGAAAATGATCAGTTTTTAGGCCAACTTTGAGAGATCATATCTCCCTCCACAGATGTCCAAATGAGGCATTCCATATCTAAAATTTAAAGCCTAAGATGTCATCTATGTTGTGCCAAAATTTGGTGTCATTTAGAGTTTTATAGCATTTTGTAGGCCGCAGGGAGTGAAGACTGCCCAAACTGGATCTATGTAGGGGCTGTCTTGGGTCCCCTCTTTGAAAAATTGTATCTCCCTCAATTCTTACTCAAATTATGCTTATGATAAACCAAATTAAAGATCAAGGTGTTTAGTATTTTGAACCAAAATTTGAGAGCATTTGGTTGAGTAAAATATTGGTAATCGCAGAAATGGTGAGAGATGTTTGGTGCCCTGTTTGGGGTTGGTTGGCAGCTTTGCCTGTCCAACTTCAAACGGTTATAACTGGAGCTAGAGAACTCCAAATGAGGCATGTGATACCTTGTTGAAAAGGTGAAAGAGTCTAGTTTAACATAATAAAAGATGAGAGATTAATGATGAGTGAATCATGCCCAGTATTGAGAAAACAGAAAGGTACTCTGTTTTAGAAAAGTTGTAAAGTTGAGTTTTATGCTAAGTTAGTTTCTGGGAACCTCTTGGTAACTTAAAATAAGTATTGTATGATAGTTAAGCAATTATAATATTACTTCCATGTTTAGATTTCAGTTACGATCACAGTTGGCATCATTACGTTTTATGGTTGTTTTTAATTGCATACGTAATGAAAAGAAAAAAGTTTACTCATATTTTTAAATAAATTGTTGTGATTGTAACTGTGTTTAATATCATAATCAATGTTAACAACACCAATGTACAATGGGCTGTTACACTCTCCGCTCTCACTTTCTAGTGAAATTAGGCCAGCACAAGATAAAAAAAAAGGATATGTTTAATATTCACACTTCAAACTTAAAAAACTTGTGTAAAAGAATATGTTAGAGAAATATAAAAAATATTAACGATCCTTTAGTAGCTTAAACTTTTAAGTTAAAATAATTTTTATATTTCTCTACCAATATTCAAAATTAGCTGCATTTGCATTACAAATACGAGAGCTCTTTTCCTTAATCTATTTTAGCTTTTAATTTAGTTGTTTAATGTAAGAAACCGCTTCAATTAAACTTGTAATTAATTTTAATTCTGAATAAAATTCAATAGGCTTCTATAGAGTGATTGACCAACATAAGTAAGAAAAAAGTCCCAAAGAAATAGAAAACAAAAAGTATTTATCGATCCGAACAATTTTTTTTTTTTTAATACATCCGAACAATCTTTATAATGTACCAGCAGTTGGCAAAATATAACAATTATGCTAATAATGGATGCTTGCGTAGAACCAGAAGCCAAGTTGTAAAATATAAAATATAATTTTTTGTCCAAAGAAAGCCAGGGAAAGTCATAAAATCAATATATATATATATATATATATTTTGTTCTCCCGGGAGAACATAGTTGAGGTTGTAAGAGTTGTAAACAAAAAAAGTTGTAAACGTAACCCTCCCTTATATATATATATATGAGATTTACATTTCTGCAGCTGCTGTGCGTGCACCAATCATATACTTGCTATATATATATATATATATATATATATATATTTGAAAGCATTAAATGCGAGGAATCATAATCATACAAAAAATGAAAGCATTAAATGTGGGGAATCATAACCATACACTTGTCGTTGCTTTACGGACAGCAACGACAGGTGTATGGTTATGATTCTCCGCATTTAATGTTTTCATCCTTTGTATGGTTATGATTCCCTGCATTTAATGCTTTCAAATATATATATATAACAAATATTTGATTACTGCACATACAACACAGCTGCAAAAATATAAACACCATATATATATATATATATATATATATATATATATATATTAAGTTCGAAAAGCTTATTATGCACCAAAACAGAAATATAGGTGGCTTCACATTGATGTACTTACTCACATTAGGACACATATACGTGTTTTCTTTTTTATGTTAACCAACTTATTTTTTTTTTAAAGTGAGTTAATTCTCTCGGCATTTTTATAAATTTTGACTTTTTAAATTAGCTGTAAAACTAATATGAAGTACGGAATAAATTAGAGATAAAATTATTTAAATTGCTTCCAAAAATAATATACGAAGATTAAACGAGATCATTTCCTTTTCATATACGTCACTTTTTTTTACTACCGCCATTTGATAAACAGATACGTCTTTGATTCGTGATGACACCCAACCCTCGATTGCGACCTTTGCCTTTGCCATATATCGGTTTTCCCTTTGCTGTGCTCTTTCCTTTTTATTTCTTTCTTTTTCCCCAAAAGCAATTTTTAACAAAACATTTTTCAAAAGGAAAACGTTTCCCATTTGTTACCAGCAAATGCCCCTATTCTTTACGGGTGTTTGGTGAGGAGTTATATATTTTTATCAGAAAAAAATAATTTTTAAAAATATGATGAATTTTTTTTTTCCTGGGTGATAGGCCAAATTTTTTCCATGAATATTGAGTTTATTTTATTGATGTGTTAATTTTTCCATCACATGAAAAAAATAATAATTCCACCCCATTGATAATAATCTTTCCCAATCATTTTATATAGAAAAATAAATTATGGGAAAAAAAAATTTCCAGTCATATTTTTATTTCACCTCTTACCAAATATAGGTAACTAATTTTTTTCATATCATTTATTTCAGAAATTTTTTTTTACCTCCTACCAAACACCCGTTTCATGGAAAAACTCTTATCCTAATGCTAGAGAACTGTTTTCTTACGTTGCTCTCCCTTCGAATTCCGTACTCTATTTTTTTTAATTTTGGGCTCTGTTACTTTTTCTCTATGCAGGAAAATCGAAACTTTTCCTGGAAGAGGAGAAGTTTGAATCCCTTAATTTTATCACAGTATTGGCGCCTTTGTTATTTCAATATAAAGAAAGCATGGAAACAAGTTTCACAATAAACTTGTGTTGCTAATAAAAGTTATTCCAAACTTGTGTATGTTTTGTGAGAAGTTTTCCCAGGACTAGTTTAGGTGAACCAACATTTTGAAATGCCTATACAATAAAATATTATTTCTATTATCATATTACAATTCTCAATTTTTGGTTGGCCAGACAATTACTTAGCATTTTATTCACATGGCATGTAACGTTTACACAGACTGTCCCACAAATTGCTGTCTTTGGATTTTTATATGTACAATATTAATATTTACTTTATAATATCAGGTCATTCGACCCCTCTGTGAAAATGACTGGAACCTAACTTGAAAAACTTACGCTAATATAACGACAAACAATTTTGAGTCACAAAATTGAACAAGACCTATTTATTTAACAAATTTATATTTATCTTTTAAAAAAAAATTTAATTTTGTCTTATACAAAAAAAAAAAAAAAAAAAAAATTACTCGCCTTAAAAAGATGTATTCATGATGCAGTACTCTGTCAACACCACAGTGGGAATCTTATCTTTTCTCCTGTTAATCTCTTTTCAAAAATTCCATTAACATGGAAGACAAAACTGGAAGCTACGCCACCAACCTCGTGGATCCAAAAAGCGGTTTCAACACTGCTTCTAGAACCTTCCACAGCCTTAAGCCCCCACTCAACCTTCCTCCGCCTCACGCCAACATCTCCGCCGCGGCATACACCCTCTCCCTCCGCCGCAACTCGCCCTGGTCCGACTCGGTTATCGCACTCGTCGACTCAGCCACGAGTCACCAACTCAGCTACTCAGACTTGATCCAGCGTTCAGAAACCCTGGCCACCAACCTCACCACACTCTATGGACTCACCAAAGGCCAAACCGCATTCATTCTCTCCCCAAACCTCATACAGGTTCCGATCCTCTACTTCGCGCTACTCTCTATTGGCGTGGTCGTCTCTCCCGCAAACCCAATCAGCACGCGCTCCGAGATTTCCCACCTCCTCAACCTCTGCGAACCTGTCATCGCCTTTGCGACGTCGTTTTCCGCACCCAAGCTCCCAAAACTCCGTCTCGGAACGATTCTCCTCGACTCGCCCGAGTTCGACTCGCTCACAACGACTACCGCGGCTTCAATCCCACGTGGCGGCGTGGAGGTGAGCCAATCCGACGTGGCGGCGGTTTTGTACTCGTCCGGGACCACCGGGAAGGTGAAAGGCGTGATGCTCACGCACCGGAATTTGATGGCGACAGTGGCGGGATACGACGCCGTTCGAGTGCGGACGGAGAGCCCCGCTGTGTACCTCTATACGGTGCCGTATTTTCACGTGTATGGTTTCACGTACTGCTTGAGGTCGGTGGCTATGATGGATACGGTGCTGGTGATGGAGAGGTTCGGTTTAGGGAAGATGCTGGACGCGGTGGAGCGATTCGGATTGACTCACCTTGTGGCAGCGCCGCCGGTAGTGGTGGCGATGAGCAAAAACGGAGTGACGGAGGGGCACGATTTGAGTTCGTTGCAGGGCGTTGCTTGTGGCGGCGCTCCGCTGGGAAAGGAGACCGTTGCGGCTTTCAAATTAAAATTCCCTCGAGTATTGCTAGTCCAGGTTTCTGTTGAAACTTCCTACTTTAAACTTCACAACTTGAACAGAAACTTCTTTTTTATTTTCCTGCATTTTTTTTAAGGAAAATGTATAATATCTAAATTAAAAATAAAACTATACAATGAAATAAATTAGGATTACATCAAAATATAAAATTATTTAATAAAAAAATGGGAATAACATCTATCCTTTTAAATGATATAAATTTATATCATTTTAGATCTTAACCGTTGATTTCCGTCCATCAACGATTATAATTTATTGGATTAAAATTATTAATTAATTAATAATCAATTTGGCCCTTTAAGTTTGGCATAATAGATTATAACCGTTGATGGACGGAAATTAACGGTTAAGATCTAAAAGGATATAAACTTATATCCTTTAAAAGGATAGATGTTTTTTCTTAAAAAAATATGTGGAAACAAAAATTAGGATTACATCATAATCTCAAGAATAACAGTACATACTACATACATATCCGTTTATACATAATTTTTACAGTGAAGTTGGTCTTGTTTCTTCAGATCAGTGTTGTTAAACCGGACCGGATATCAACTCGGTCGAGGTACTAGATTAATGGGTCACTAGTCGAACCGGTGAGTCACTGGTCGGACCGGTTGACTCAGATATATATGTATTATATATATATATATATATATATATATATATATAATTATATGTATATAAATATGAAAAATCAGCATCTCAGTGCAACTTGAGAAACTTTAATTTTTCTTGCTCACTGGATGCATATGTAAAGATTTCAGAAAAAAATCCCAAATCTTGAAAAATGAACACAGGAAGACAACTTGGGTCCTAGAGCGACATGGCGGCGACAAAGAAACCTAGAGCAACGCTGCGGCGACGAAAAAGATTAGGGATTTCGCACGGTTTAGGCTTTAGGGATTTCGTAAACTTTAGGGATTGATTTCGTAACAATTTTATTTTTTTCACTTATTGTGTGATTTTTCATTTTTGTAAATTTTTTTTTTTTACTCTGACCCGAACTGTTTCACAAAACCCGAATGGTCAACGGGACCCGGTAAAAATCCAGCGGGTCGTGCGGGTCGTTGGGGGTTGATTACTTGTCCGGTCCAAAAGCTGACCCAAACCGGTCACCCAATCGGGTTAACGGAATTTGGATCGACCCGTCTGGGTCGGGCCAGATTTAACAACAATGGTTCAGATTACACTTTTATAGTTGTATTCTCGTACTACCAACTATAGTAATGTGGGCATATGAGACTTCTTATTGACGTGTAATAAACAATTTTCAAATATTAACTTCATTTTTATCTTGCGTCACACTATTTTACCAGGATATATTGAATTTGAATTTTTTTTTTGGAAAGTCAGGATATATTGAATTAGTTTTAAGATTTTGTAAGCTCAGCCTCAAGTTTTATTTTCATCCACAAATACTGTAATTATTTTTTATACTATCATAAAATGATATTGTTATGACTGAACAGTAACTATGGTAAAAGGTAATGGGTAAATGTCTAAGGGAAGTTGATAGAGAGCAAGGTCTGGTATATATGGGCTTAATTGAATGTATCAGCTATGTGCGAATGGGTGAATGCGAGATATTTGAAGTGTCATTCCTTTGTTATTATAGATGTATTTATAGTACTTGTTCTGAGCGGTTATAGAAGAGGATCATGGGAGTTGCAGCAAACGTGGTATTACCAAGCAGTTATAGGGATCGTGGTTATGAGTGAGCGCGAAAGGATGGAGGGTTTAAACTCACGATTCCGGCTCATGACCTATAGCCCCATAATCTAGGTCCTTGGCATATTGCGTTAGTTGGAATATGAATTTGGGTAAGAGGGTCTTGGATCTCTGATTAGTTTGAGCTCTTGGGCTTGAGCTCAGTGGGCCTATCCGGAACAGCTATATTTGCATATTAATTTTTTATGTAATTATTATTATATTCAATCTGATTTAATAATGTTAAATAAATATTAATATATTATAAAATATACTGCGAAGGATTTACTTATCACTAATTAAGTTTATTATTTTTTTTTATCTTTTTTATAATAGTTATATGGAAAAAGTTATATTTACAAACTCTTACAAATTACATTAAGTATGACCGGTTATACTTTTATCAAGATTGTATGACCGGTCATACTTAGTGTCATTTGTAAAAAATGTTTGTAAACGGATCATTCCCTTAGTTATATAGTGGTCAGTAAAACATGATGCAAAGGGAAAGATGAGAGAGAAAAAAAACTATACTAAATAACAATCATAGATTTGATTTAATCCTACATTTATAAGAGAGATAGTAAGAGGTGATAAACTTACTTGGGTATAGTAAATATAATCTCTTCCAAAATATTAAGTTATACTCAAGAATTGTTGGTCTAGTAACTACGCGAGTTTAATTCGTGAGAGTTGTAAAGGGTGAAATTTAAAAAATCACTAAGTTTGATCTAGTGGTGAGGGGTTTAAGTAAATTGTATTTAGTTATGAGTTCAATTTTCACTTGTATAAAAAAATAAAAATAAAAATAAACGGGTCTAATACCGGACACCTTGATATTTAAAAAATAAATATATTAAACCGTCAAATTAAATAATTATATAAGAAGCTCTAGGGGGAGATAAAACAATGGACAAGAACAAATATTCCTTATTTATTTATTTTAAAAAAAAAACTAGTTAGAAGAATAGTAACGTACATATTTTTTTGTTTAATTTTTTTTATAAGTTACAGGTAAAAATAAACTGAGAGAATCTGAAATATTATAGGGATATGGGTTAACTGAATCAACGGCTGGAGTTATCCGAACAATGGGTCCCGATGAGACTAACCGGCCAGGAACAACAGGAAGACTGATAGGAGGGATGGAAGCAAAAATAGTGAACCCCAACACAGGAGAGGCCATGTTTCCTGGTGAACAGGGGGAACTCTGGCTTAGAGGACCTCCAATTATGAAAGGCATGCACTTTCATGAGATTGATACAATTGTATTATTACTTGTCATTTGTGTTTTGTTTTGTTAAACTAAAGTAATAGTAATATGTAGATTATTTCCATTAAAATGGAATATTATTGTTTTTGTGTATGGTGTTAGGATAGGTTATGTAGGTGACCCAGAAGCAACTTCAGCAACTTTGGGGGATGGGTGGTTAAGGACAGGGGATCTCTGCTATTTCGACAATGAAGGTTTCATGTATGTTGTAGACAGGTTGAAAGAATTGATCAAATACAAGGGCTACCAGGTAATTAATCTATCTGGTTCTCTTGTTCTTCCATCCAAGTGGAAGTGATGCATGATTGCCAAAATAGTGTACTTTTATGTTAGTTTCTAATACTTTGTACGTTTTGAGATAAAGCTTAAAAACTTTGTAAATGGAAAAATATGTATAAAATTTAAATTTTTTATGAGAAGAATAATAACTAAACACTTTCAAATAAATGTAACACTATAAAAAAAAAAAAAAAGTGTTTGGGATTAATATTTCACCGTCAAGTTAGAGATGAAGTTATTTTGTGCATATATAGGAGAGTGGATGACTCATCTTTTTTATTTCTCTCTTCTTCTCAAATAGCTTTACCCATTTCTTTGCGCATGATCGTTGAAGATAATTTTATCTCGAACTTGTGGAAAAAATTAAACCTATAAACTTTATTTTGTTTTTCCAATGTTATGAATTATGTATCAATACCTTATTTTTATGCTATATGATATTTAATCTAACTAATTTGTACAAAGCTCTGACGAATTTAGTATTTTTTATTACTTATTTTAGGTGGCCCCTGCAGAGTTAGAACAATTGCTCCAGTCTCACCCAGAGATAAACGACGCTGCAGTTATTCCGTAATAACTTATCTTTTGATTTTTTTTAATTTCTATGAAAAATGGTTTTTCAGAAAATATGTTTTAGTGTTTGATATAATTTTTAAAGAAATTAATCGGTGCCAAAAGATTAAAAAAATATATAAGTTTAATGTAATAGTTAAAAAGTATTTCTAATCAATTGTTACAGCTTAAAATCCTTTGAGTAAGAAAAGGAATGACATTTACCACAAGAAAAACTAAATAATAAGTTTTTGAAAAAATATTTTCTGCTCTTTCTTTTATAGAAAATTTTTGAGTGTAAAATTATTTTTACTGAAAAATTAGTTTCTAGGAAACATATTTAGGTCAAAATATTTATAAAATAATGTATATTCTCTTTCATATTTTCATATAATATATATAAAGAAAATAATTATTAAAAAAGTTTAATAAATTAGATCGGAACTCACAATTCAGAAAGACACGAGTTTAATTTATGCTATCTACGAAAGAATGAATAACCTTTAAACATCATGAACAGATACCCTGATGAAGATGCTGGTCAAGTGCCCATGGCTTTTGTGGTAAGACAGCCTCGAAGTTCCCTGAGCAAAGCAGAAATAATAGATTTTGTAGCCAAACAGGTGCTTTTCTCTTATACCATTTTCTTTTTCCTGGTGAACTCCCATATATACTTTATTTTTTTGTTCCATTGAGATTTTAAGTTTTCATCCATTGTGGATACATGTCCTTCTAGTTTGCATATTGAATGGAAATATATATATATATATATATATATATATATATATATATATATATATATATATTGTAATTTGCTCGTGGATGCAGGTTGCACCGTACAAGAAAATAAGGCATGTAACTTTTGTCGATTCTATACCAAAGAATGCAGCGGGAAAGATACTGAGGAAAGAGTTAAAAAATATAATTGTCCCCCATCGACCTTCCTCTAGGTTATAATGCTTCGTTTCAACTCATAATGTTTTTGTTTTCCAGCAAAATTAACTGGTATTTAAGTAAATTCATGCGAATCTCTTACGATAGAATTAGGTTATAATGTCACGTGAATAAAAGATAGGTTGTTGGGGTACGTAAAAGTATAATCTGTAGAGTAGATACAGTGAATTGTAGGTACAATGTATTGTATAAATAATAGTATGGAGGAGATTGATGTACCAATGAAAGTAATAAGATTGTTTTGATTCTTAAATTCTTCTTTCTTAGCTTTTCACTTCTGCCGCTCAGAAGTTGGTTGGTAATTGAGAACGTAACATTGGTGCTTTCGTTATTTTGAACGCCATGTAATGACATGAAAAATTTCTAAAATGTCCTTTGGACGTTGAATTAAACAAATGGAGTCGCCACTTGAACTGTTGGCAAGGTGAGAGCCAAATATGTAACCTAGAAGGGTGTAGTAATTGATATAGGGGTGCCCTTCACAACAATGATATGGACCAAGGTTACGAGAGGTAATCTCAAGTGCTATGTATACCGGGGGGGGGGGGGGGGGGGGGGGGGGGGGGGGGGGGGGATGTTTAAGTGGCTACAATTGTTCTCCAAAGTGGTAGGGTAACGGTTCATAAAACATTTGTGTCATGTAATGCTAGTTAAGGGGGTATTTATAGGTCCCATGGTGCAAAGAGGGAGAGGAAAGTCAACTATTATAAGAAAGTGCCAATGTAGCATGGCCTTGCAGGGGAAAGGCACTTTGTTGTTACTGCATTGTTGACAACAACTCTCGTGCATGGGAGAAAGTGAAAGGAGAGTCCCCATGAAAGTATTTTGGGTGCCTGAGGAGGCAAAAGGGATGGGGGAGTCCTCCAACGCAAGACATTTTGATGTCTCACGTTGGGATGTCTGGCAACAACGCAAACGACAACAATGCTGACATAGCAGGGTTGGTAGGGTTGAGGTGGCATAGTCTCTTGACAGTGGGCTAGCCTTATTGGACCAGCAGAATTGAGCCAGCCAGAATAGAAGCCCACCCCAGCTCGGTAGAAAGCAAAGTCTTGGTACCGAGATGAGTGTGCTGATCGGGAGTTTAGTGTGCTTGTGCGGGGCCAAAGTGACACTCAAAATGACAGTCATCAATTGGAGTCTGGCGGTCTACGGTGGCAGTTAACATTTTAATTTGTAAGGGGGTTTCATGCCGATTCGGGCGTATCTCAGTACGTGTTGTTTGCCTGTTTTTTGACCGGCCTTCTTTTGGCGACCGATAATAATGTATTGTACTTGCGGCAGATTTTGTTGCTTGGTTGTTGATAGTGTCTACATGTAGACTCTTGAATAGGGAATATTATTCGTTTTTTGGGCACATACCACGACGACTGTGACAATTACTTTATTTTTCATGCAAACAATAAATGCGATAGGACGTGCCATATTTAACGAGGGGAGGTATTGTGGGAGCTGTCTTGTCATTGGTGACTTTACGGTCTTGACCCTCATCTGATCCGTTGAATTTGAACGGTTGTTTGAATCTGACGGTAGGTGATTTTAGCGTTGTTCTTTGGAATTCTATTTAAAGGGGTTCTCTTTTGCATTGTGGACGTTTCTAAACATCTTCTTCATCTTCTAAACTTTGAGTTATCAACATTTCTCAGAACCTTCCTATCTTCACGCCTCTTTTATTCTCCTCAAATTTCTGTTTCTTCTCATGCTTTTAGGTCTTTATCACCTTCTAGTTCTGCGCTTCTTCTTTTTCCTTTCAGTTGCCGCTTCTGGAGGGTTGGTCTATATTTCCACGGAGGGTTTTCTTTCAAGTTTTTTCTTCATATCATCTTTGTCTTCACCAATAGGTGTACTTCTGCACTTGTTCTCGTGTTGTCTTCCTTTGATTTCTTGTTTTTTGTCTTGCTGCTATTTGTGGTTGAGCTTTGGGTAGAGTCTTCTTGTAGTCTGTTAGCTTTGAGTGGTTGCTTGAGATGGTGAAAATAGAGGAGTTGTCAACAGAGGAAATGAAAGAGTTCGAGGAAAAAGTAAAAGTGGAAGAGTTTGATTTTGATCCCAATGCTCTTGATGATGTAGTGATTGGGGACGAAATGTGCAATGCTTGCCATGGGGGGGACGAGTTTGGTGCTAGTACCTACGGTGCTTTGGTGCCCGATGTAGAGTCTCTGCCCCATGGTAGAATTGCAAAGTTGCTGGGTTTCTCTAAAGAAGAGATCTCTTGAGTCTTGTCGTCCAGAGGTTCTGGTATTTTTATTCCTTGTCTTGGTGAAGCTAGTGGGTATGGTCGCCCAAGTAAACCCTCTGGGCGCACTAGCAGTCGAAAAGTTGGTGAGTCTGGCTGTACATCTCTTAGGCGAGGTGAAGCCCGTTCTGGGAATGGGCGAAAACATTGTCTTGTTAGTCGTTCAGTATTTGGTAGCGGGCGTGCAGTCTGTCTTGTTAGCAACATTAATCTGGACCCAGGGAATCATCCTTTGCAAATGGTGTGTCGGCCAGCTAATCTACCAATCGTTCTTTCTGGTCCGGTTGGTTATGTCTGTCCTATTTCCAAGTCCTTTCATCGCCGAAAGTATGATGAGTTGACGGACAATCGAGCAGGGAGATATCACCCGGAGGATGCTCGACTTACTTGCTACGACATTTGGGATGCAATTTCCTGGGATTTAAAGCTATACAAGGAGCCATCGGCTTGATGGCCCAGGTCTCTGACTTATTCTAACTACTACACTAGTTCTTCCTCTTCAACTTGTTCTGATTCCTCTGACTCTTTAGGTATGCTTTAGTATTATGGCTTGATTACTTGTTACTTGGGGTTCAGTGGGTGAGTTGAGGGAGACAAATTTGGTTGGTGGATGCAGTGTTTCAGAGGATAGGGCTGAGTCAGTCATATTGGTGCGTTCGAGTCTTTGGGGTTCTGGGGGTAATTCTGATCTTCTTTTTCTTCAACTTCCTAGGTTTGCTTGTTGAAGGGTCTCCTATACTTTAGCAGTCATGGAGTGGTCAGTGGCCAGAGCGATTACTAGCGATGAGTTAGGTTAATGATGAAGTTCGAATGACAATGTCGTCGTATGTAGATGTGTCAGGTTTGAGCGAGGCATATTAAACGGAGGGAAACTTCCGACTTGCGGCAAATAGTGAGAATGAGGATTCCTGGGGGTTGAACAATGTCTCTGAGGACGACCAGGTTTGTTATCGACTGGGTAGAAAGCTATGGCTTCGTATCTTTCTTCATGTATAAGAGTTATTTTACCAAAATGGTGGATATCACTCCGTCGACAAAGGGATACCAAGTTAAGGGAGATGTTTCTTCCTCTGTGGATATGACCACAATTTTAGATGTGACTGGGTGATTAATGAGGAACCTCCTCATGTCGGTCGTAAGTAGTTAGTGTGCTTGGGTCTTGGCTTTAAAGGAGGCGGCTTTGGCTTGTGGTTGTTAGTGTGTTGGTCGAGACGAAAAGATTGTTTTGTTGAACCGTAAGGTTGAAGAGCTTATCGTTGAGATCAGTAAGCTTGGGAAAAACATCAGTGTCCTCGAATCTGAGAAGAAGGTTCTTGAATATGAGAAGAAGGCCTTTGAATATGAGAAGAAAGCCTTTGAATCTGAGTAGAAGACCCTTGAGGATGGCCAGGCTTCTTTAAAGAAAGCTAACAAGGAGCGTGAGGCGAAGATTAAAAGGCTTGCGTAGGCTAATGATGGGCTTTCGAAGACTATTGAGGGGTTGAAACAACTAAGGAAGAACTGGATTCCAATATGAAAAAGTCCATTGAACTTGACCAGCTGCTTTCGAGAATGGTCCAAGCAAATCCATTCCCCATTTGTAGAAAGGCCATGGGTAGATGATAGTTGTCATCTCTTTAGGAGGTGCCCGATGCATGTTTGCGTGTCTTTAGCATTTTTATGTGGTTGTGTGATATTTCTCCGTGGTCGGCCAATAGAAGCCTGCCCTGAAAGCTTTTCTAGCAAGTGACCGCCCGTCTAGGTAATGACCATTAAGACCTTCATGAACTTCTTCCAGTGCATACTCAAATTCCTCATGTTTTAATCACTTCAAAAGTGGTTGTGAAAATCCATTTTTGTACAAGCGGCCTTCAATCAAGGAAAAATTGGCGCTCCTCCTCACTGTTTTCATTGCCTCTTTTTGGTCGGAAGGTAGAACTCCTTCTGAATGATAGTCGATTATTGAGGTCGTCCATGTTTCTTCAATGGCTTCTATGGCAACGTCTGAGATAACATTACAAAGCAAAAAGTGGGGAGGTTTTGTTGAACAACCGATCGGTTGTTCCCTGTTCTTTTGGTGCTCACCAGCTTGGCTAATATGTTAGCTCTTGCATTTTTTGTTCACCTAATGTGTTCCACTTCAACGCTTTGGAAGCTTTTGAACAACTCTTTCTTTTTTTAAAATATTTGGCCATTAGGGGACCTTTCGTCTGATATTTGCCACTTATCTAAAAGGTCACCAATCGAGAGTCACTAAAAACTTTGAGGTGTTCAACACCTAATTCTTTGGCTAGGGTAAGGCCTGCAATGATGGCCTCATATTCTGCTTGGTTATTGGTGGTGATAAAATCAAAGGTGAGAGAATGTTCCACTGCCATGTCATCTGAATTTTCGATGATGATGCCAGCATCAGACCTTTTAGAGTTTGAGGATCTATCAATGAAAAGTTTCCAGGCATGCCCCATTTCTGGGTTCTTTACTTTAGTGAGCCTTGGCATGTAGGTCATTTCTGCAATGAAATCTACCAGAGCTTGAGCTTTAATATCTGTTTTGGGCTCGTAATTGATCTGGTACTCAGATAATTCAATCGCCCAAGACATCATCCGTTCGGCCAGATTGAGTTTGTGTAAGACCTGTCTAATCGGTGTTGCGAATACGGCAAGTATACCGGTCGTACAAGTAATAAAGTGAATGAGCAAAAGCATCATTCCCACGAGAACTAAATTCAAGCAATAGTTTCACCGTTTTTATCTAAGTTAGACAAATCAAAAGTATTTTCGCAGGTAATCAATATTTAATTAAAAATTAAATATAGATTACAGTAGAAGAAATTATTTAAAAGGCTAATTTAAAACAAAAAATGAGTTTTAAATTCAAGAATAAAAACGCAGGTAGGATCTACTTCACCTCTGATTCCCCTTAAGTTAATTAAATCAATTCAATAAAATTTTAGCCCTCTTATTATCAAACGATTCATCATCTAATTATTAATTGGTTAAATCC